GACTGATTCTAAGACTGGAATAGGAAATACACAAGATGAGCCTGGAGCATCTTGTAGTATCATAAGATAATGGAGAGCTAAAAACAAAACAAAGTCAATGTTGATGGAGTGTGTCAATGGAACACAGGAAGGAGGAAATGAATAGCGCTCCCAGTGAACAAAGCTGGAACAATTTGAACAGCTAAAGAAATCAAGTAGTATATCAAAGTGTAAACAAATATCCTTGTCTCCATACTAATATGAAGTAATATTGAATGAATAAATAAAGTAGAGATGAAGAGACAAACCTCCTGTGCAGAATTCCAAATAATATATATAGATATTCTGCCTTCAAAAAGTTGGACTATAACTTCTAATTTCTTAAGTGTGGGCTGCATGAAGTGACTTTCTTCCAAAGAATACACTATGGAAAGGTGTGTGTGTGGGGGAGTATAACTTTACCATGGAGAGTCTAACAAATACTACCTTAGCCAGGTGATTTATGACAATATGATTTTGATTTGAAATTATGTGATGGGCCCGGCGCAGTGGCTCATGCCTATAATCCCAGGACTTTGGGAGGCTGAGGCAGGTGGATCACCTGAAGTCAGGAGTTCGAGACCAGCCTGGCCAACATGGTGAAACCCTGTCTCTACTAAAAATACAAAATTAGCCTGATGTGATGGCCTGGGCCTGTAATTGCAGCTACTTGGGAGGCTGAGGCAGGAGAATCACTTGAACCCAGAAGGCAGAGGTTTCAGTGAGCTGAGATTGCACCATTGCACTCCAGCCTGGGCAACAGAGTGAGAATCAGTCTCAAAAAAGAAAGATGAAAGAGAAAAGAAAAGAAAAAGAAAAGAAAAGGAAGGAGAAGGAAGGAAGTAAGGAGGGAAGGAAGGAAGGAAGGAAGGAAGGAAAAGAAATTATGTGGGCCAGGCACAGTGGCTCATGCCTGTAATCCCAATACTTTTGGAGGCCGAGGTGCGTGAATCACAAGGTCAAGAGATCGAGGCCATCCTGGCCAACATGGTGAAACCCTGTCTCTACTAAAAATACAAAATTAGCCCAGCATGGTGGCCTGGGCCTGTAATTGCAGCTACTTGGGAGGCTGAGGCAGGAGAATCGCTTGAACCCGGAAGGCAGAGGTTTCAGTGAGCTGAGATTGTACCATTACACTCCAGCCTGGGCAACAGAATGAGAATCAGTCTTAAAAAAGAAAGAAGAAAGAGGAAAAGAAAAGAGAGAAAAAAGAAAAGAAAAGAAAAGAAAAGAAAAGAAAAGAAAAGAAAAGAAAAAGGAAGGAAAAAGGAAGGAAAAGGAAGGAAGGAAGGAAGGGAGGGAGGGAAAGAAATTATGTGGGCCAGGCACAGTGGCTCATGCCTGTAAATCCAACACTTTCGGAGGCTGAGGTGGGTGAATCACAAGGTCAAGAAATCGAGACAATCCTGACCAACATAGTGAAACCCTGTCTCTACTAAAAATACAAAAATTAGCTGGGCATGGTGGTGTGTGCCTATAGTCTTAGCTACTTGGGAAGCTGAGGCAGGAGAATCACTTGAACCTGGGAAGTAGAGGTTGCAGTGAGCTGAGATTGTGCCACTGCACTCTAGCCTGGCACAAAGTAAGATTCTGTCTCAAAAAAAAAAAGAAATTATGTGATGAAAATGCCACTTTATTTCTGTGATCTTCTCATAACTCCAGCCTAATCATGAGAAAAACATCTAACATATCCATATTGATGACATTCTACAAAATACCTGAAAATTGTCAAGGCCATGAAAGTTAAAGAAAGTCTGAGAAACTTCCACAGCCAGCAGGAGCCTAAGATGATGTGACGGCTAACTGTAACGTAGCATCCAGGATGGCATTCCAGAACAGAAAAGGGACACTAGATAGGAGGCTAATTTGGTTTTAGGATTTTGAAGCATGGACTTTAGTTGAATAGATCAATATTGTTCATTATTTATAGCAATTGTACCATATTAAGGTAAGAGAATATAGAGGAGAATATAATGTAAGAGATTAGGGGATACTCATGAGGGAAACTGGGTTAGAGTATATGGGGGGCTGTCTGTATTATCTCTACAACTCTTCTGTAAATGTAAAACTCCTCGAAAATAAGGTTTTTAAGAAAAAGTGCACCCCCCACATATACATACACATACACATACATGCGCGCGCGCGCGCGCACACACACACACACACACACACACACACACACATACATATATACATCTCACTTAAAGAAGAGAATATTTTGGCTGGGCCCAGTGGTGCCTACCTGTAATCCCAGCACTTTGGGAGGCCAAGGAGGGTGGACTACCTGAGGTCAGGAGATCAAAACCAGCCTGGCCAACATGGCGAAACCCTGTCTCTGCTAAAAATACAAAAATTAGCTGGGTGTGGTGGCAGGCGCCTGTAATCCCAATTACTTAGGAGGCTGAGGCAGGAGACTCTCTTGAACCTGGGAGGCAGGGGGTGCAGTGAGCCAAGATCGTGCCATTGCACTCCAGCCTGGATGACAAGAGTAAAACTCCGTCTAAGAAAAAAAATAAAACAGGCCAGGCGCGGTGGCTCATGCCTGCAATCCCAGCACTTTGGGAGACCAAGGCAGGTGGCTCACCTGGGGTTGGGAGTTCGAAACCAGCTTGATCAACATGGTGAAACACCGTCTCTATTAAAAATACAAAATTAGCCAGGTGTGGTGGTGCATGCCTGTAATCCCAGCTACTCGGGAGGCTGAGGCAGGAGAATCACTTAAACCTGGGAGGTGGAGGTTGTGGTGAGCCAAGATTGTGCCATCACACTCCAGCCTGTGCAACAAGAGCAAAAACTCTGACTAAAAAAAAAAAGAAAGAAAGAAAGAAAAAGAAAAACAAAGAAAATAAGAGAATATTCTCAGCTGGAACTTCAGAATGTGCAAAAAGCCACCTCTCTAAGGGGACACTTAGAGAGGATCAAAGAAGACATATTTAATACCAGAATTAGGAATCTGATCAACTCTTTTAAAAAATAAAGTGGAAGAAAATATGTACAAAACTTCTGCAGTTACTTGAGACCCTTCAAATAATATCTGAAGTAGCAGAAATTCAATGGGACCCATTAAAGATAGGTGGATGAATTAAGACATGGATAACTACTACTTTGTTTATTGCTATATTTTATAATAAAAGTTACATCGTAACATTAATCATTTTATTAAAAGAAAGTATAAAGATTTTAAACTTTATGGTAAAGATAGGGTTTCAGTGCATCAAGATGAAAAGTAGAGAGAGAAACAGAGGGGGAATAGAAGGGAGATCCAGCAGTGTAAGTTATGTGTCCTTTAGAAGTAGGTTTCGAGTTGATGTAACTATATATAATTATCAAGAAAAGAATTAATGTCGTTTGGGCTTCATTAAGCAACTTGAGGAACATAAATTTTAGTGTATTATTCAGATAGCACTTAACCAGAAAAACAAAAGAAAATCTACTCTAGAATTAGTGTGAATGAAACAAACAAGAGTGTTAAAGAAAAAAATACCAGCTGGGCATGGTAGCTCATGCCTGTAATCCCAGCACTTTGGGAGGCCAAGGCAGGTGGATCGAGACCAGCCTGGCCAACATGGTGAAACCCCATCTCTACTAAAAATAGAAAAATTAGCCAGGTACGATGACGCATGCCTGTAATCCCAGCTACTCAGGAGGCTGAGAGAGGAGAATCACTGGAATCCAGGAAGCAGATATTGGAGTGAGCTGAGATCATGTCACTGCACTCCAGCCTGGGCAACAGGGAATGACTTCAACTCAAAAAAAAAAAAAAAAAAAAAAAAAGAAAAAGAAAAGAAAATAATACAAATACATTTAGTAGTAGCAATCTATTTTTTAAAAAAAAAAGCTAAAATTACCTGAAGACCACAAATTAAATTAAAAAGGTATTAAGAAGTGCAATGGCACATTTACAGCATGTTTAAATTCATACACACACATATATATATATTTCAGACATATATATACATCTGACAAGTCTGAAATTGCTAAACCTACAAGCACAAGAGGTATTATAAGTGCTCTGAAGGAATCTCTTTTACATTTTTCCTGCCACCTCCACAGTATCTGGCTCCCAGACACATAAAAGTTTCTCTTGGCCAGGCGTGGTGGCTTACACCTGTGATCCCAGCACTTTGGGAGGCTGAGGTGGGAGGATCACTTGAGCGCAGAAATTCAAGATCAGCCTGATCAACATGAAGAAACCCTGTTTCTACCAAAAATACAAAATTAGCTGGGCATCATAGTGGTGCACGCCTATAATCCTAGCTACTTGAAAGGCTGAGGCAGGAGAATCACTTGAACCGAGAGGTGGAGGTTGCAGTGAGCCGAGATCATGCCACTGCACTCCAACCTAGGCAACAAGAGCAAAACTCCATCTCAAAAAGAAAAAAAAAAGTTTCTCTCAAGTTTACAAATGCAGCAGCTTTGTTGATTCTCATTTGCCTCATTTTTGAACACTTCATAATTCCTTAGCACATTCTTGCAAGATTGGGCAAGGTCAAGAAATCAATGAGACTCAGAATGCTTGGGTTTGCTGCTTGCTACGACGGGAGCACACTCCTAGCATGGGAGAATATTTCATGGTGTGCCATTCTCATGTATTTAGATTTACAGCAACGTACCTTCATGCTCCTGAATAAGCATTCAGGTCTTCTGCATCTGAGCTGCTTCCATGGTAGATTTGAGAGAATGAGTAATAGTTGAGCAAGGGACTGAAGTTTGCTCCAAACTCTTATGGATTTTGCTCAAACAAGACTGCACATAAATTTGTCAAGCAGTGTACATTTGGGATGGGGAGATTGGAGTTTATTCAGTTAGTTATATTCGTAAATGTTTTCTCAGCTAGCCAAAAAGTTCTTTAAGCATATCCATTATGTTTTATTCGTAACATTTTATTCATTTTATTTAATGGAAATTTGGCCATTAGAGAAAAATATTCTGAAAGGAACAAAGTAGATTAGATCTGTGATATGGTTTGGCTTGTCCCCACCCAAATGTCATCTTGAATTGTGATCCCCATAATCCCCATGTGACTAGAGAGAGACCTGGTTGGAGGTGCTTGGATCATGTGGGCAGTTTCCCCCAAGCTGTTCTGTATAGTGAGTTCTCACAAGATTTGATGGTTTTATAAGGGGCTCTTCCCCCTTTTCTCCTCGCTCTTTGTCTCTTGCCACTATGTGAAGAATGTCCTTACTTCCCCTTTGCCTTCTGCCATGATTGTAAGCTTCCTGAGGCCTCCCCAGCCATGTGGAACTGTGAGTCAATTAAACTTCTTTCACTATAAATTACCCAGTCTTGGGCAGTATCTTTATAGCAGTGTGAAAATGGACTAATATAGCCTGATACCCAGGTCTTTCAGTCTCCCAAACATGTCCTGAGATTTAATAACAATTGAACCTGCTTCTCCTTAAGAGCAGTGGGCACAGGGGTAGGAAAGAGGAATCTTCACTGGTACAAATTGACTTGCGAAGCTATATTACATTTTGACTTTAGAATCAAAATAAAGCAAAACATGTGACTGCTTGCAAAGGAATTAAGACTTCAGAAAGTTTAGCTTATAAAATAATACAACATGGAAAGAAACACACACACGCGATGTTACAATGGTCTGATCATGGTGAAAAACAGTGGTTTGGGCCGTGCACAGTGGCTCATGCCTATAGTCCCAGCTACTCGGGAGGCTGATGCTGGAGAATCACCTGAACCTGGGAGGCAGAGGTTGTAGTGAACTGAGATCGCGCCACAGCACTCCAGCCTGGTGACAGAGCAAGCTCCATCTCAAAAACAAAAACAAAACAAACAAACGAAAATTCTTGCCCAACTAATTTAAATCTCATCCCCTCTGCATTAGTTTGTGAGAGCTGCCATAACAAAGAGCCCCAGACGGGGTGCCTTAAAGAAGAGAAAATTGGTTTCTCACTTCTGAAGGCTGGAAGCCCAAGATCAAGGTGTTAGCAGGGTTGGGGCCTTCTGAGGCCTCTCTCCTGGGCTTGTAGATGCTGCCTTCTCCCTCTCTTTCCGTGGCCTTGCCTTTGTGTGTGTCTGTCCCCTGATGCCTCTTCTTCTAAGGACACAAGTCACATTGGATTAGGGCCCACCCTAATGATGTCATGTAACCTGAATTACTTCTTTAAAGGCCTTATCTCCAAATATAGTCACATTCAGACATATGGAGGTTAGGACTTCAACATGTGAATTGAGGGGGATACAATTCAGCCCGAAACACCCTCCCTTTCCCAGCGCAGGGTTGAGGAGGTGCCTCAGGAAAGGGGAGAAGGTGGCCTAGCTCTGGGATACCACCACTTCCTCCCTGTCAGAGCCTAACTCCTCTGATGTTGGGGCCTGGGAAGGACAATGGAAGAGAAGGGGTGGACACTTCTTACCTGGTCTTCCACAGTTGGTGTCCTCTACTGCTTTTCCTGCCAGTAGTTCCCAGCCTGGCCTTGTTCCTCTTTAGGAAACAGCACACCTGCAGTTTCCTCAGTGGGGTGTAGTGAGCATCCCACTGCACAGCCCCCCAGGAGCTGGCTCCCCTTCTTCCTCCACTCCACTCCTCACTCCAGCAGAAGCTGTGGTGCCCCTCAAGTGCCAGAGACCCTCCCAGAGACCATGCCGCCCTCTTTGAAGGCACCAGACAGAGGGATTCAAACCAGGTGATTTCCAGGCTTCTGAAAAACTGCTCTTTCCTTACCAATCAGATGATGACCATGCAGGCTGCTCCCGTTCCCTGCTCAGGGTGGCACAGGGCAAACCTGCTCATCTCCCATGTCAGCAGACATCTAATTAATAAGGTGCAAAGAATTCACCCACATTTTAGAAAGTCCAATGGAGGTGTCCGGCCTCAACCCATCATTTATTGAGAATGTGAGTTTATTTCACCTCTGACCTTTGTTTAGGCTTCACATGCCAATCTCTAAATAAGAAAAGTCCCACTCCATACCCCAAAACCATCATCGTCAAGGGGAGTCAGGATCTATCCGTGCTCATTCTTGCTGTGATAAATGCGGTCCTTGAGAGTCTAGGGAAGTCAGTTAACAAGAGACTGATGCTGGTGATGAACAGCTGAATACGATGAGATCTGAGCCATATTTGGAGACTGACTTTACAGTAACAATTTCTGAATCTCTACCTTCCTTCCTTCCATCCTACCATGACTCATCTTGATATTTTAAGTCATAACAAAGCTTTTGTGCTCATTTCCCAGGGCTCAATAATGGAATCTTAATCATTTGTGAGGCTTCTAAAATAATTTGACATGACAAAGCAGCCTGTGTTCACTACCACAGAGTGGATTCAAGACTTTCAAAAATCCTAGACAAGGCCGGGCACAGAGGCTCACTCCTGAAATCCCAGCACTTTGGGAGGCTGAGGCAGGTGGATTACTTGAGGTCAGGAGTTCAAGATCATCCTGGCCAACACGGTGAAACCACATCTCTACTAAAACACAAAAATTAGCCAGGTATAGTGGCGAGCACCTGTAATCCCAGCTAGGCAGAGGTTGCAGTGAGTTGATATTTTGCTACTGCACTCCATCCTAGGTGACAGAGTGAAATTCTGTCTCAGCAAAACTAAAAGAAAGAAACAAAACAGACAAAGCAGGCCTCTGTCCTTGTATAAGTTTGAGCCAACAACGGTGTTCACAGAGAACTTTGGTGACTTTCTCACGTGGTGACAATAGCCCTGTTCTAGGTTTTGGAAGATCCTGATGTATTTTTCCCAGCCCCCAATTTTTTTGGTCTTCAACTGGGAGACACTGAGCAGGAATCCAATCAAATGAAAATGCCTTGCATTGTTGCTGTGATGATAAGCCATATTGTATTTATTATATATTTAGAAGACTTTAAGAGCCAGGTGCCAGACAAAACTGAAAAATGGTCACACATCCTGAGTCAGACAGCGACCAGAGGCAATGACTGGGACATCGACAACAAGCAAGACTCTGTTGTCTCCCAGAGCTCTGGAGGCTAAGTCCAGATGGATTTAGATGAGCAAAACCTTACTGAAGGCTCCTTTAGAGGCACTGCATGATTAAATGCCAGCACCACCCCAGTGTGAATAACCAACATAGACGATCATGACTTATGATGTCACGGTATCCACATATTCTTGGTCTCGCCTGCACACAGGGGTCTTTCCACTCAAAAGGAACACAAAATACAGAATAGGAGTCTTCCTGCTTATCACAGGATTATGCCTTATAAGTGTTAAGGAAAAATAAATCTTGGGACCCAAACTCACTAAGCCAAAGGGAAAATTCAAGCTGGGAGCTGTATCACACAAATCTGCCTCCCATTTTGTTCCTAAGTAAGATAGCTCCAAAATGAAAGGCTACATACCTCCCTCACAATTTGCCCACTAGGAAATTGCCTGTGGGCCCCAAGATCTCTACCCTAAAACAGTTCTGTTGAATTTCACCCTGACAGTGTAAATGGATAGCTGATTTTCACAGTTGCAGAACAGAAAGTCATCCTTCTGCTCACCTGAGACAAGGGCATATCTGAGATTGTTTCTTCTGCCTTCTGGTTTTTGTCTTATGTAGAAATGCAGATTCACGGAGCTAGGTGGATGCATCAGTGATTATGCTGCCAGAGGGGAAAGGGACACTAGCCCTATTTCATTTCAGATCAGGTGTGCCCCAGGTTCTTCTCCTTCACTTACCCAAGAATGGGAAAGGGGACACCTTGCTGGCAATGGTGAGCACCTTGGAGTAAATACCAGACCCAAAAAGTTTTTGCAGAAAGTGATTTATTTAGGCAGAGAGAAAGGGAAAAAAGGAGAAGGGGGAGAGAGAGAAACAGCTAGCTGTCACACTGAGTGAGGAGAAAGAAAAGCTGCTCTCACACTGAGTGAGAAGGATTCCCAGAGGGGGAAATTCAGGGAAGGAAAGCTCCTCTCACATTGAGTGAGAGAATCTAGGAAGATGGAAACCAGGAGAGAGAAAGCAGCTTCCGCAAAGGTCGTGGAAGGGGACCCACGTATGGAATCCAAGGAGGTGTGGAAGAAGGGGACTTTTAACCTAGGAGGAATTCCCACCTTCTCCAAGCCTCCTAGCCATTGAAAAGAGTTCCTTTAAACTTCCACTGGAGTGATTGACCTTTGATCCTTTCCCATAGGCGCAAAAGTTAAACAAAGCCCTTTAAGTCCCCCCAGACGAGATGTCTCAGGGAAGGCAGGTAAGGCATGCCGCTGGGAAGTGCCTGCCCTAGAAACTACGCCCCCTTGTGGACTCTGGAAGAGAACGCATTCCCTCAATTATTTCTCGACCCTCTTTTCACATGCGAACAGCTGATGGAAGACTCAAAAGAATGCAATTGCTTCCCTCTTATTTACCCATACCTTAAAAAAAAATTCTTCCTCTTTCCCAGTGTCCTCTCTTTCCACTTGAAATATTGAAGCTCTCAAAACCATCTTTGGAGAAAGACACAGCCTTGTCACCTTGTCACCCGGTGCCTGCTCAATCTTGGCAAAATAAACTTCTAAATTGCTTGAGACTTGTCTCAGCTACTTTTTTGGTTTACATAAAAGTAATGCCTTAGATTCAAATCTAAAAATGCTTACAATTAAAAGACATTCTAAAATCTAGTAATTCTTATTTAAAGCACAGCACTCTAAATTAAGATTGGGCTTGTGTGACCTGGTTCATGATCGAGAGCCTGATCACCCCCAAATCAGACCTCCTAAGCCAGGGCTTGGATTTCTTCACCACTTCATTGGGAATGAGCTCCAGAGGGATGTGCAGGAAGACATGGAGGTGCCACAAAGGAGCACGGCCTGTCCAGCGCCTTGTTGCTATACATGGCCAACTGGACATGACTGAACTTCATCTTGGACACGGTGGCCTTGCTTTCCTTGGCTTGGGAGGCACCTTGCTGGTCAGCTCCAGCACTTGACCTGAACGGACTGCAGCTTGACAGCCACACAAACATTTTTTTTCGAGATGAGGTTTCACCCTTCTTGCCCAGGCTGGAGTGCAGTGGCGAGATCTTGGCTCACTGCAATCTCCGCCTCTCAGGTTCAAGCAATTCTCCTGCCTCAGCCTCCCAAATAGCTGGGATTACAGGTATCTGCCACCACGCCAGGCTAATTTTTTGCATTTTTCGTAGAGACGGGTTTCACCATGTTGGCCAGGCTGGTCTCAAACTCCTGACC